AGCCCGTCTGCAATGCCTGTGGCCTCTACATGAAGCTCCACGGGGTAAGCGGTCGCTTCAATGGCCGAGGGCGATTCCCCACCGGCTCTCATGCTCCTTTGGGGAAGGGGTGATCCTCCAGCCGGCGGGTTCCTGGTGGCTTTAGGGGATGGCATTGGGCTTCCTCAAGTCTGGGCAATATTTCTGTTCATGCTGATGGTCTCAGCTCATGGTTTGGACTGCGCAGTTAAGGAAAGATGAATGAAACAGATAAAACAACCAAAAAATGGTTAGAAAATGGCTATACCAACATAAAAATGGCCATACCATTTTAGCAAGTCATGCGTTTGAGAAGTTATGTGTTTGCCATTGTAACTCTCCTGACAGATTTGTACAAAGAAACCACCTTTGGATGAGTGGCAGAGGTCTTTTTGCCACCAGGATTTAAACCAGTTTTTAAACCAGACAGTTTTTCATGGACAGACATAGCTATGCCAGTAAAATTTTGAATGTAATTCAAGCCATAATTATGAGAGCAAAACTTTAAATGTAATTTCAGCCTTCACTAGGCAATAATAGAGGAAGAAAATAGTTCTATCCTGAATATATGCTGGAGTATGTTTTGGGTGAGACTTGGAGCCTGTTATGTCCCTGTGGATTAAGTTACAATCAAGCATAAATGTTTGAAGAGTGAGGGCATTAGGAGTGATTGGGACTTGGTCTAGTCCTCAAGAAAAAAGTAAATTATATCACAGGTTTAAACATTATAATGATAGTAAGCATATGCCTGAATTGTCTTTCTCCAAACTTGTGTTATCATTAAGTTAAAATATATTTTAAGTCAATATTTTCTGTATAATGATTATTGTTGTGATGACACAGAGCACAAAGCTGATTTTTGAGCACATTTTCCCTATAAATATAAATTTGGATACTATAAAGCAGAAAGTATCATGGGCAGATCTGCTTATAAATACTGAGTTGATTATGGCCTAAAGCCTCTGTCCTAAGACACCTCCAGTGATGATCTGGTTTGCGTAGCTGGTCCACAAGGAAGAGCAGTATTTTTTCCTCTCATATGCATTCTTGCTTTCCAGAATCGGTCACTGGAGATAATTCCTAACTGACTGGAATAAGTAATCAGGGATCAGATATACTCTCTCCGATTTAGTTTCATATGACCTATGGCCAAATGATGCTGTTTTTCCTTAAAAATGCGCTGTTTTTCTGTGGATTGACAAAGGTGTTGGAAAAACTGTTTAGTTCACATGAAGAAAAAGTTTCCTTGCTTTCTTTATTCAGCTAAAACTCCTCTTGAAACAACCCATTGCTTTGCCCAAATTAAACACAAAGGTTTTTTTGAATCAGTACCACGACACAGGAAAATTTGACTTGCCATACAGGCATTTTCAACATCACCATTTGATCTTGTAGTGTATTTTGATTTTTGATATTGAAGTACATAAAGGACTCTGTGATAGGTGTGGAAATTTTATTTTTTCAGGTTCCTCGACCTCTTGCTATGAAAAAAGAAGGAATTCAGACCAGGAAGCGAAAACCTAAGAACATAAATAAGTCAAAGGCATGCTCTGGTAAGTATAAAAAGATAAGACAGTTGATCTGAGAGAGTTTTTTTGTCGTGGCTGGAAAATAATTGTTTTTAATACCAATTCCTGATCTTTCAGGTAACAGTACTACTACAGTTCCTATGACTCCAACATCCACGTCTTCTACTAACTCAGATGACTGTAGCAAAACCGCTTCTCCTGGCGCACAGACTGCAGCCTCCGGGGTAAGTCGTAAGCCAGTGTCTGTATCTGTAAGCAGACTGATCACTGTGCAATGTTATCACAGCTTTTATCTTATCTAGCAGAACAATAATCTAAACAAACTTTCCAGTTTTGTTAGCTGATACTGGAACAAGATTTTCGGAGGATATTACATATAGCTGTAAACAGAACAAGCTGAAGTACTTTACAAACCTCTTAATTAAGATCTGTATAGTTTTTATGATTAAGTTAACCATGACTTAACCTCAGACATTAAGTTTTGAAACTTCAGATTCTTCTATTTCAAAGGTTTTCTTTTGGAGCAAAGACAATAAATCATGCCCAATTGATCCTTTTAAGGAACAATTGTGCATGTACCCTGTGTTTTCTGATATTACCGGAATTTATAATTCAAGGCACTGCTGGACTCACGTTTTCCAAAAGCTGTTTAATATATCTATGCATTTGCACGCATTATCCCAAATGAGTGGTAAAACCCAGCGAAACGTCATCCCGCTGCATGGAGTGAAACATAAAGGCTTTTGGTTTAGACTAAGATGTGCACTTAAACCCCGATCCAGACCCAGCTGAAATCCAGCTGGGGAGCCCTGCTGATTGCAGTGCGTCGGGGATCTGCCCTCTCCTCGCAGAGGGCTCTTCAGGGGCCAGACGCTCAGCATCTGGCAGCACCAAGCTCCAGAGGAGCACCAGAGGAGTGCTGATCATCCCCTGCTTTAGTTTTGATCCTTATTTTACATCGTGTACTCAAACTGTCACAAACTTCCCTTCACTTGGTTAGCATGTGTGATGACTACTGCTGAAGTTGCGAAGCTTAGTGTAGATTAATATCTAAACCCTTGGCTCTACATATCCGTATCCACACTCACTCCTTGGGCCTTCTGTATCCTTTAATCTGCCACATCATTTCATTGAAAAGCTTTCCTAATGTAGCTTTCTCTACTCCTTTATTAATAAAAAGAACACCTTGTTTATAATAACTATTTTTCAGTATGTCTCGGTGTTCCCACGTCCAAATTCCTGTCAATAGTTTAATTCCTGACATACAAAGTTTCATTGTACAAAGGGGAGGAAAAAAAACATTTTTAGCAAATGCAATTGTTTGTGGACTGACAGGGCCACCCAGTCTCAGAGGCACTGGGTTTTGGGTTCCGATGCTGCCAGACAAGGATATTACTAAAAGGGCTTGTCTTTGACATGAGAAAGCCCTGTCAGTCCAATAAAATAAACAGATCACATCAAAAAAAGAGAAACACTAACCAAGAAGTGAACTGTTACTGGGTTTCAGGCTCCCCCCAGTGCACTGTTTTAGGCTTTCACCTAATATTTGCAAAAGAAGAAATGCAGCCAAATTTTCCTTAAGTTTTCCTTACATTGCCTTAAGCAGGACTACTGATCCTGGTGAATGTTGTGAGGTTTCTATAATGGACAGAATTAGAAGCACAATCCCAGCTGAGGCCGAGGCAGCGGCGTAGGCTGTGGGCAGCGCAGCTGTGTGCTGCTCAGGGAAGGAGAGGCCGTATAGATGAGATCCTGTTTCCCCTGTGCTGTTGTCTTCTTGACTCGCTTATGCCTGCCTTCCTTTCTGTAGTCCTTCTCCCTAGAAGAGCATAACAGAAGCCTGTTATTAATAATCTTTATGCTATAATTTTAATAGTACCATTTGTAATATAATTTTGCCAGGTGGAGATGTGTGGGTACCAGACGAGAGCAGGGTGGGGGCTTGGTTTGTGAGCCAAAAGGCTCACTGAGAGCTGTTAGCAACCAAGAGCAACTCCCAGGGACCCTAAGGCTGCTCTTAATTGCATCCCCAAGTGTCAGAACTTCAGTTCTCCCTGATTTTTCCGTAGTAGATCAGGCTGAGAGAGGACACTTGCACGAGGGCTGGGGAAATCTGTCTCCTTGATCCAGCAGGCAGCACAGTAACATCTGCACAGCCTTTTGCCCACCACAGTTTGAGTGCCCTGCACATGCAAAGCACTTTCAAATTAACTCTTGTGAAAAATTTCAATGAAAGGAAGTGATGGAGAGAGGCTGTGAAATGGGCTGAAGCGGAGAGGTTGCAGCAGCAGCCAGATATATGGGCATCCCCCTGACTCCCGCCCACCCTACATGAAGGACTAGTGATCTCTCACCCCTGCCCCACCCTGCCCCATGTGCACATAAATAAGGATGAGATTTGGCAGGTTGGATGAGGCTTTGAGCAACCTGAAAGTCCCTGCCTATGGCAGGGGGGTTGGAACTTGATGATCTTTGAGGTCCCTTCCAACTCAAACCATCCTATGATTCTATGATTTGCAGGGGAGCAGTTGTCAGGACATGTCATGGACATGGCCACTTCCTTCCCTTGGGCTCCCGGCTTTGCTCAAGCATCAGCAATTCAAGGAGAGGAGCATGGGGGAGACTGGAGGTTGAAAGCAGAAAGTGGTAGCTGTTCAGATTGGCTCCCGTTGCCCCAGACATCATTTGGGAACATGATCACTAGCTGTGAAAGAAGTGAAATAATTTCATATGGGCCTAAATCCCATGGGAGGGGCTGAGCACTCATAAAGGCCATTGAAGTTGCTGGGAGTGAGGGACACACATTTTAGTGTGAGGCAGCCTGTAATCAGATCACATGCTGAAGCAAAGATATTCTACTAGATTTTTGCATTCCTTGATTATTTTTTCTTTTTCCATTTGAGTTGACCCATCGATAGCCTGAAGGTCTGTATTTATTCTTAGAACAGGCAATGGCTTTGCGCAAGGAGAATAAACTTCTCCAGGCCATGTCAGGAGGGTAAAAACCCTCGGATGAATCCAGGCTCTGTAATGTTTGGTCGCTTTAATGAGGGCAGCATTGATTCCTGCCAGTGGCACTGTGACGTTGCCGAAACACGGGCACCTGCTGGAAGAGCGAACCTGGCTCGTTCCCTGTGCGTTACACAACCAGCATGGCAACTTGTTTTTGTTTTGCTCTGTTTTTACTTCTCCGGCCCTTATTCTGTGAAAAAAGGAAAAATGCCAAATTGACATTAGGCAGAGAAATCTGATGACGTTTTAGAAACTGTTGTCTGAAATTCACAGCAATGTTGTTGCTAAATGAAACAGAGAAAATGAATTCCTCTACTGGTACAAAAGCAATTTATTATGCCTTTTATGGGAGGCTGCCAAAAGAGCTCCCAGTTATGTAGAAATCTAATGGAAATGAAATTCAGCAGAATTAATTTGTGTCAGTAATACTCACTTTTTGCTCTACCTTTCTTTATCTCTTTTAAGTAAAATAAAGAGGGTAGGGCAGAAAAAGAGAAGGGCAGCAATTACTCTTCGAAATGTCTTTGAGACTATCTGTTTCATGAAAGGGGTCTTATATGATGCCAATTTTGAGACAAATTACCAAGAATCTTAAATGTTGATTTTATGTTCTAGCTAAACATTAAACATTTAAAAGATGTGATTAATGAATTGCTGTGGGTGCAAAGTTGATGTCAAACATCCCAAAATGTAGAAGTGTTTGGACTGGAGATATTTTGTTGTCCTATTGTAAAGGGCCTATTTGCCAAATTCACATCTGGATCTAGGATTTAGACCTATTTCTGTTTTCCTAAGCAGTATAAGTACTGGGCATCCTGTGTTACTAATATGGAAAAGGTCCAGCTGCATGATATATGAAGTTGCCTTACATCCCCATAAAAAGAAGATTTGAAGGTTTCAGACAGCCTGCATCTGCATCTGCATCTATACCTGCTCTGCCTTTGATGCTGCTGGAACTGTACAGAGAAAAGTTACGCAGAATAATTTACTAAACGAAGGGCACAGTCTGTAGTGCACAGCCATCCGTTTCTGTGCAGGGGCTCCAAATGGTGTGATTACCAGAAGGACTTTATTCCCTTATTAGGATAAAAGGCAGTATGAAAACTGCTGTAAAAGCTGCTTTTTATGGCAGGACATGGAGGCTCCATGAGCCAGGGCTGATGTCAGTAAAGGCTCAGCAGCAACAGGGGAGCTCTTCTTTCAGAATATGGTACTGCGCCCTTTGCCTTCACTTTGGAGCTTTCTCAGAAGGACCGTAATCACACACCATGGAATAACTTAGGACAGTTGTCTTGCAGGTAAAACTAGTGTTTACTTCCCTTGGATGTTTACCTTGAGAAGTGGTTCAGGAATGGCCCTTCAGTATCGTAGACTGGAAAGTGGGACAGCTGACTGAAATGGCCTTGGTAGGTGATGAGCTAGTAGGAAAACGCAGTTCTAACTGTCCTCAAAATGCCTGACAACCTGGGCTGAATTAACTGAATAGCTTCTCCTGGATTTGCTTTCTTTTGCTTTCAGAAGAAGGTTCGTGTGATGGTTAGAGGTGGTGTTCTTCGCCTCTTTTTAGGCAGAAGGTTGGTAGGACTTTCATGCAGGTGACAAGGAATCAGCCTCTGTACACTATTTCCCAGAGTGTGGATGCACTCAGATATTCAACCTCTTTAAAAAAATCTCCTAATCACCTGGGTATTGAAAAGTTGAATGGCCAAGGGGCCTTCAGACTGTCACATGATAAGATTTCTGTTAGTATAGAATAATTTTCTAGCTGTCAGGATAGGGTTTCCATGAGAAAGACTCACCAGCATGGTTGTTAGGACTTTCACCTGGAAAATGGGAACACGGTGCCTCAGTCCTGCTATGAGTAAATATTTATCTAAACCAGGTGGAATAAGATCAACAGGAGGCATGAGGAACATGGCAACCTAAAATATGAAATAGTCTGGTAGTCAGGGCATTGTGCTGGAAGATCTGATACTCTGATTTAAATCTTCTCTTGGTCTCCTACCCCTTCTGCATTAGTCCTCACTCCTGGACAAAACAGGATGCTGCTTTCTTCTCCCCACTCAGTTCCATGAAATCAGTCATTCATTTTCTTTGCTTCGTGTACATGTATCCAAAAGAGAGCATTTAATTTTGTATCAAACAGAATAAGGCAATCCAGCTTTTTTGTTTCAGCACAGAAAACCAAGGAAAACGTGTCTTTTTGGTTCTACCCAAAACATCTATATGCACATGGACACATACATTTTGCTTGGGTTTGTTTTATTGCCAAAGCAATAAAGCCAATTACTCGTACAGCCCTCAACAGCAGAGGGGTCATCAGCTTTCCCAAGCTGCACTGGAAGTTGCCTCCCTTAGGAAATTAATGAAGTATTAACTGCAGATTTATGTTGTTATAATACAAAGGAGAGATTAGAAGATATGTAAACTTACACATCTGTAGTATAAACAAAAGGATCAATTGGACTAGCAAGAAATGACAACCTTGCATACTAAGCGGCTCACTAACTCAGAAAAAAAAAGCTGTGGTTTTGCAGTGCTGAGGTTTTTCTCTTCAGAAACCAGGGAGTGACAGTACTGGGAGAAAGTCCTCTTGGTGGGGATGGCAGTTATCGCACGGTGGCTAAAGCTGGAAAATTAAAGACTCCATCGCAATTTGCCACAGCACTTTACATGCAAAAGAAAATTTTGCAAGTGTGTTTCAGCTGACTACAGTTATCATTTAAGTGCTGTGAAACTAAACTATGCTAACCGAAGAGGAAGAGAGTGTCAGCTCAGACTCAGCTGACTACAGACCTAGTGTAATGTCCAAAATTTGTGGAGCGCTTTCAACCTGTGAAGCAAAGGTCTATCTGATAGAGCAAAGGTCTACGCCAAGGCCACTTGCCACCCCCTCCAGCTGTTACCACAACTCCTTGCCCAGAGCTTTTGCCTCTCAGCTGCGGAGGCGTGGGGGGAGGCTGGGGGGGGATGTCCCTCCCTTCTCCCAGCTCTCCGTGGTGGGCAGATGGCGCAGGAAAGAGGGGGTGGAAGAAAGCAGGAGTCCTTCAGCCAGAGATGCCTGTGCTGTTCCTCAAGTGCTAGCTGGCAGAGGCTGAGCAGCCTGGTTTTGATCTGGGACAGCTTTAGTAGGGTTGAATTCGGCTCGAGGCTGCTGACGACAGGTTTGGGTACAATGTAGGTGTCTAAGTCCCTCCGTGGCTCTGGCAGAGGTCTCCCTGTGAGCATAGTGGGCAGGTCCTCTACAGAAAGGCCACCTCTGATCCAGACAACCTGCCTGGGGGCTGCCCTATGACCAGCTCCTGCTGGTTTGGGTAAAAAGAACCTTTGCAGATACAAACACAGCCTTCCTCTGTTTGTTTGGGAGGCAAGCTCTTCCCCACGGGCTTGCTTCATTTTTTCCTCAGGAAGCAGAGCTTTAGTTGATTATCTATCCTATTATCAGATTTCAGCAATAAAAATAAATCCATTACCTTTTTATTGATGGAGCCAGCTGGTGTGAATTAGAAGAGCTAGTTGACTTCAGCAGCATTGTTCAGCTTATTTATTCCAGCTGATGAATGTCCTCTAATAACTAACTGTGGCTTCTGTCACCTTTCATCCTCAAAGCTGGAAAAGTAAGAGCAGAGGTAGGCAGGTTTGGGAGCAGAGCTGTGATTCAGCTGCGTCCTTTTCATGAGCTAAAGTTTGTTTTCCGTGTCTCACTTTGGGAGCTGCCCGAGCTGCCTGAATTTGTCATGACATTACCGGGGTGGGGTTTCCAGGCCTGGCGGTCCTGCCCAGGTCCTGCCTGCCCCTGGCTCAATGGAGCCAGGATCCGGCCTTGGTCAGGCAGGGATGGGCAGTCTTCAAACAGGACGTGCCTCCGTGTCCTCCCTTCTGGGGTGCCCGAGGGAGGGGTAGCTGATAACTCCACATGGAAATGGCAGGTCCCTGTGCCCCACCTTTGTAGGGCTGAATCAGGAAAAGGGTGAATTACACTTTCCAAGTCTGGAAAAAACAGGTAGTGATAAGATATTTGCCTACCGGAACAAAAGCGGCAAATATGGGCAAACGGGAACCTTTCAAAACAGCTCCTAGTATTTTTAGGTCAGGTTGAGCAAACACTACTCAACTTCAATTTAAACCCTTCTTCCACTGCGGGGAGACTCGAGCTGTTGAAAATTACACCTTTTGTGCAGCAGAAGTCTATTTGATGTATTAGAAATAAAAAAAACCCTTTTTATAAAAACTAGGCTGATGCAAGACCAAAACCTGACAGAAAGGTTAGCATGAAACCTGCCTCATTGGATTCCCGGAGCACAGTCA